AGCAGAGTTAGACTCCATCTCTCAATGACAAGAACAGCAAAGAATCTGTTACCATTTTAATCTACCACAGGTTTGTCGAGAAGCATTCTATGTGAAGGGCTGGTGGCTCCCTCTTTAGCTGCTGCTTTTTTCACCTGATTTTTACATAAACACTGTATAGAATAGACATGGTAGTGAGATGAAAAGCTCTGCCTTTTGATGCCCAGAGTTAACCAATTGTTATCACCTTGAACAAGTCATCTAACTTCTGTGTGTGTTAGAAAATGTAGGTTGTCCCTAGGTTTCAGTAGATTTAGAATTCACAAATGCAGAGTATGTAAACCAAACCTAGCCTACGTGTTTGTTCGGTGTGAACTTTGCTTTAATATACATATACGTGTATATTTGTGTGCATAAACATATACATACATATGTTAAACCAAATATCTACTTAACTGACATATTTAAAAACTGAGTGATGCCATATAAAATTCAGAAGATCTGGTGACACTAGAAATGTATTAAAACATAGCAAGAAGTGCCTGGAATTTAGGGTCCAGTGCCTTCTTTTGATGGCATACACACTGTCTGGTCTGTTCACATCACTCACATATGCCTCAGGAAAGGGCTAGACAAGCATCAGAGTTTGCTTCTCTACCACATAGTGTAATGTTTAAGAGTGCACAGATGTTGGCTTTGATGGCATATGTTCAAATCCTGGCTCTGCCACTTGCAAGCTATGCTGAAGGCAATGTTGAAGATGAAACATGCAGCAGCAGGCCACCCACATCAATTTTCAAGGCAAAAGTTAATCTTGTTTGTGCCCCAGCTGACTGGCATCTAACAGCAGAAACAATAGCCAACACCATAGACACCTCAATTGATACTGCTTATACCATTGTAACTGGAAAATTAAAGGTGAGCAAAGTTTCCAGTCAATGAGTGCCTAAATCATTGCACCCAGATCAGCTGCAGACAAGAACACAACTTTAGAAGGAAATCATAAATAAGTGGGATCAAGATCCTAAAGCATTTCTTTGAAGAGTTGTAACAGAAGATGAAATATGTCATTATCAGTGCAATCCTGAAGACAAAGTGCAATCAAAGCAATGGATACCAAAAGACGGAAGTGGTCTAGTCAGAATAAAAGTGGATTGGTCAAGAGCAAAGGTCATGGCAACAATTTTTTGGAATACTCAAGGCATTTTGCTTGCTGATTTTCTAGAGGGCCACACAATGATACATCCACTTATTATGAGAGTGTTTTGAGAAACTTAGCCAAAACTTTAACAGAAAGACACCCTGTAAAAATTTCCCAGGGAGTCCTACTTCACCAGGACAATGCTCCTGCTCATTCTTCTCCTCAAACAAGGGCAATTTGGAAAGAGTTTTGATGGGAAACTGATTTGGCTCCTTCTGACTTCTGCTTGTTTCCTAATCAAAAAAAAAATCTATAGAAGGCACCCATTTTTCTTCAGTTAACAATGTGAAAAAGACGGCATTGACCTGGTTAAATTCCCAGGACTCTCTGTTCTTTAGGGATGAACTAAATGACTAGAATTATTGCTACAAAAGTGTCTTGACCTTCATGAAGTTTATTTCGAGAAATAAAGTTTATAATTTAATTCCACAAACTTTTTCAAGTCCCCACGTGTTTATTATTATTCTTCTGGGATCTGGCAGAACACTCATTTGTTTATTATGTAGAGAACATTTCTCATAGAGTCACCAGTTCTCTTTTGAATACATTAGAGTAGAAAACTTACTTTTATTTGTGACAATCTTGTACCAATTCATTCCATGGTTATTAATTCTAGTCTCAGAAAGTTCTTTCTTTTTTTTGAGACGGAATTGCACTCTTGTTACCCAGGCTGGAGTGCGATGGCACGATCTCGGCTCACCACAATCTCCGCCCCCTGGGTTCAGGCAATTCTCCTGCCTCAGCCTCCTGAGTAGCTGGGATTACAGGCACGTGCCACCATGCCCAGCTAATTTTTTGTAATTTTTAGTAGAGACGGGGTTTCACCATATTGACCAGGATGGTCTCGATCTGTTGATCTCGTGATCCACCCGCCTCGGCCTCCCAAAGTGCTGGGATTACAAGAAAGTTCTTTCTTACATTAACACTACACAAAAGTTATTGTGCCATCTCACCACATAAATGAATTTCCTCATTTCTGTGCAGCTCCAAAAAACTCATATTCTATACTTTTCTTTTAGAATCTATATACTTCCTGGTTTTATCATTTAACTAATTTTTTTTTTCAAATTCCATGTGCCAGATTCTGTTCAAGAGGCCAAGAATACAATAATGAATAACACCCAGCTTCTGCACAACAGAAGCTTAGAGATCAGTGTGCATGTATTATAGGATGCTACATGCTGTCTTTTATATTATCCTGTAATATACCCATAATTACCCATAATTCTGCCTTTTATGTCTCTCCTGTGTTATCATTTATTAGGTGCATCTGCTAGCCTTATATTGATTGATCCACAGAAGAACTCTGTGAAATAAACTTTATTATTTGGAAATGAGATTTTAGAGTTTTAGAGATAAGAAAATTCAGGTTTGTGCACTGCTTTCTCTACGCCAGCCCTCTGACCCGTCTCCAGAAGTTAATCAGCAAACTATGTCTGAGCTAAGGAGGGTCTGGAATAGCTCTGGTCAACACTGTTCCCAGTGCTGAGCAGCCAGTTTAGGAAAAAGACAAAGTAGCCTGAAATATGATGTTTAAATACTTAGTATGGACATAAGTGCTTAAAAAGTGAAAATTCAGCAATGATCCACATGATTACTCCATAATATTCAAATCCGAGGTTTGTCCTTTTGCATCTATTCGAGTGTTTTATGATATGAGTAGTACAACTCTGGATGAATGAAGCCTATAGCAGAAATTAGATGACCTGGCACGTGACAGATCAGAAAGATCACTGAATCTATAAGTTCAAGCTTTTGTTCCTCCCTATTTAGCTAAGTAACTGTCACTGGATCTGTAAAATCCTTACCAACAGTGTCAGGGACATAAAGGGAACTCAAGGATATCTTTTATATAAATAAATAAAACAAAGGATGCTTAAGAGAGATCACAAACAGAGTGATAGTGTCATTTATACTTCATAAAGATGGAATTACAGTAAAATTACATGGCTCCATGAATAAGTGTCTGATTATGACTCAGAATCTTCTTCTGGATCCTAAATTTACCCCTTTTCCAAAGCAACCACTTATTCTGTCTGAAGATTCTTCTTGGTGCAATTTATATGCTGTAATGGGATAGGAATTAGGTTGCAAAAGAAGACATCAAAGTTATCTAATACGTAATAAAAAAAACCTTGACTAAGTCACTCTGAACACAAGAGAAAAGGACTACCCTTGACCCCTTGACCATGCCTGGTCACTTCTGAATGAATGTCTGTTTGATACCTGTACTTTTAGAAACATTTTGCAAGTACAATTGATATTAGAGGTCCAAACTCCCTAAAAAAAAACAATTTAGGATGTTCCCTTGGCTCACTTGCACATTCAAAAACTCAAATTCTTGGAAACTGGAAATATGACCACTGAGCTTTCTCTCAGCCTGCACCATGTTGCTCACACCTAATGAAACTCTCATTGTTTCCACATTACTCAATGTAGTTGGGATCAACAGTCTAGGATTTTCCTCAATAAGCTTGCTAGATAAGTCTTCAACTGAATTCACATTTTAATGAAATTGAATATAGAAAGTGTATGAACAACAAAAAGGTGAGCATTAAATCCTGAATCCTCTAAGGTGTAAATCAAAAAAATAATAAGGCCTGGAATAGTTAGCTTCAATGGGATATAGCACTAGAGGACCCTGCTAAGATGAGGAAGTTTTTAGTGTGCTTTTGATTTGCATTTCTCTAATGGCCAGTGGTGATGAGCATTTTTTCATATGTTTCTTGGCCACATAAATGTCTTCTTTTGAAAAGTGTCTGTTCATATCTTTTGCCCACTTTTTGATGGGGTTGTTTTTTTCTTGTATATTTGTTTTAGTTCTTTGTCAATTCTAGATATTAGCCCTTTGTCAGATGGGTAGCTTGCAAAAATTCTTTCTCATTCTGTTGGTTGCCAGTTAGAATGGCAATCATTAAAAAAATCTGGAGACAACACGTGCTGGAGAGGATGTGGAGAAATAGGAATACTTTTATACTGTTGATGGAAGTGCAAATTAGTTCAACCATTGTGGAGGACAGTATGGTGATTCCTCAAGGATCTAGAAATAGAAATACCATTTGACCCAGGAATCTCATTACTGGGTATATACCCAAAGGATTATAAATTGATCTGTAATAAAGACACATTCACACGTATGTTCATTGCGGCACTGTTTACACTAGCAAAGACTTGGAACCAACCCAAATGCTCATCAAAGAGACTGGATAAAGAAAATGTGGCAGATATACACCATGGAATACTGTTCAGCCATAAAAAGGATGAGTTCGTGTCCTTTGCAGGGACATGGATGAATCTGGGAACCATCATCCTCAGCAAACTAACACAAGAACAGAAAACCAAACACCACATGTTCTCACTCATAAGTGGATGTGGAACAATGAGAACACATGGACACAGGGAGAGGAACATCACACATTGGGGTCTTTTGGGGGGTCGGGGACTAGGGGAGGGATAGCAGGGGGTAGGGAGATTGGGGAGGGATAACATTAGGAGAAATACCTAATGTAGGTGACAGGGGGATGGAGGCAACAAACCACCATGGCCTGTGTATACCTATGTAACAATCCTGCAAGATCTGCACATGTACCCCAAAACTTAAAGTAAAATAAAATTTTTTAAAAAGATGAGGAAGTTTTCAAAGACATGTTTTCGTAAGTGGGAAGGCAGGATACCAGAGACAGACCTTTTGAAACTCACTGTTCCATTTAAGGAAAGCCACAAGTACAGAAAATCCTGCGGCTACCTTCAGCTTTCTTTCTCTGCAGCCTTCTTTCAGAATTATCAACTGGAAAAACCACTAAACAAGTAAATACAGCACCTTAGATTTTAGCGGTCCTTATAGTTACTAGCGATGTAAGCCTAATTCAGGCCTTTTGTCTCCACGATCCTCAGCAGCTCTATCTGTAAAATAAAGAGGGTGGTTACGATGGTCTCTCAGGACCTTTTGAGCTCTAAGGTCTTTTGAATCAATAATTCTACTCCCTGTGATGTCCAAGAGTATAATTATTCACCAAATTTGATTATAACTTCTGAGAAACTGCTGGGTGGAGGGAAGAACAGAGGCAGCAGGGGACTTGGTTCAGAAAGACTCTCTCAATGTTTTAGGGCTTGATAGGGGGCCATGACTGTTAATATTAGAATCTACGAATAGGGTTTGGTGACATACACTTACTTCCGTGGTGAAGATTGTGCCTGGCCAACTGCCACTTAGTTAAAGGTAGAGAACACAATCTACCATCAATCAGTGAGAACCTGGAAAGAATAAAGGATTGGAGGGGGTAAAATACCGCAAAAAGTCATGATGATGCAGAGTATTCAAAAATCCGAATCATTCATGCATTTCTCATTTATCTTTCATCATATATTTAGCCTTTTTATGTGCAAATAATTAAAATAATGCTAAAAAACACCTTTCTATATGAATCGTGCTTTATAATTTTAAAGCCAGTTTTATTTTATAGTTTAATTGTTTTAACACCTTGATGGGGCACACATGGCAGAGTAGCATTATTCTGCTTAAAGGAAGAGGAGAGCAAAGCTCAGAGAGGTTAATAAATATTGAAGAGCTAATTAACAAGTCACAATCGACCTTCAGGTCTTCTTATTCCTATTTCTTATGTTCCTCCTGTTAAATAACAGACATGATCATCTGCTCCTACTACAAGTTTCTATTTTTGTCCTAACAAGCTGGGGGTCTTGGGCCCCATCTCATTAAGGCACCCTTTCCTTCATGTGAGAATGAAGGTTGAAGATAAAATTCATACAGAAGTTTAGATTTTGCCCAAGAGGAGATGGGAATGTGCATTTTCTCTTCAAGAGTTAATGCATCTTTGAATGCACCACACAAGGAGCATAGATGAAAAGACTGAAGTTGGGCTCCTGGGTTTGACACTAGCTTTACATCAGTTTCTTCAGGCCTCAGGCCTCAGACCTAACATCTGTCAAATAGGTGATAACACATGCACAATCCAATGTAGAGCTTTTTTTTTCTAGTATGAAATCAAGTGGCGTATATAGAACCCCCTTGAAAACAAGACTTGAACCCATAAATGTGTGGTATGGTTATATGGTTGTTCAATGTGTGGCTGAGGGAATAGATAGTAGCCAATACTGGCTTGACTTCAGGCCTGGAGATCAAGCAAGTCCAGATGAAAGGGATTTGGATCCATTTCCTAAACAAAGAAGCAACGTCCAGAAGCAGCTCAAAGCTTAGAAAATAAGGAACAGTTGGTCTCACAGCTTGGCCAGGCAGGAGGGTTGGCAGAGATCCTCAGATCATTGTGCTCTGCCTAGTGAATTGAGTGGGCCTCACCAGGGGCTGGATGTTAGCCTCCTTCCGGCTGGAGAGAAGCAGTGGGGGGTTGTGACCACCTGTTCCCTCAGAATGTCACTGTACTTCTTGCACATTTTCCTACACAGGCGAAGTCCAAGCCAGGCCCTTGGAAAAATCACAAAACAAAAAAATCTGCCTTCATTCTTCCTCATTTTTTCTTCAGTCTTCCCATTTTCCCAACTCATAGTGACTTTCCAGTGATGCCCAGTGGCCCCTGATGGGTCACACCCCTGACTCTAGTGGCTTACCAGACTAGCCTGTGAAGATCTCACCATGTGTCCCAGATATCTCTGTTCCTCACACCCAAATTCATTGACTTAGTACTACCCCTTTCTCATCCTGCTTTCAGCAAGTGAGCTGGAAGTCTGCGCTGATAAGTAGCTTGTACTGAAGAACTTATAAAAGACAATCAAATTAAAAAGTAAATCCTCTCATGAATACTAGTACATTAACAATATGCTCTTAAATAATGTTACTAAAAGAATGAATGAATGAATGAATGAATGCCAAATGGATCACATCAAAAAAAATCAAAAAGATCATAGGGTTGCTATTTTGAGACCACGGCTTAAGTAGAATTAAGAATTCTCCACTAAAAATCTCTCGTTTCTTGATCCTGATAAAGTTTTTCTTAAAAATTCAAATCTTTAACAACCAAAAAGTATATCTTATGTATGTGTGTGTATATATATATATATGTTGTATATATTTATTATATAATATATATTTATTTTTAAAATTATATATAGTAGCTTTTATCAATTTCAAATAGTGAGTAGAAGGCTATATTTCTTAGTTAAGAAATAAGTAAAATGTTCTGTGAAAACATCAAATGGACAGCACAATATTAATAAAACAAGTGGCTTTATGGCTGAGCGACACATGTAGTTAACTCTAGCTGTGCAGCTAGATTAATTCTGCTTAATAAACTCTTCATCAAACCAAGACCTGATGTCTTTGTCTTAACCCTTAGTAGATTCACAGACTCCTGAGTCTATCCGTCATCTCCAAGAAAGCATCTGAGGACTTGACACCTGCCTAGTTGTTCAATACCTTGGTAGTTGCTCTATATCCTTGCTACAGAATGATCCATACTGGACAGAAATCCAAAGATGCAGCATACAGTGGGCATGTATTTTCTTCTAAACACCTGACATCCCTTCCTTAGGCGAACTGTCTCATCGCCATGCCATATGGTTTTAGTCAGCACCAGCTTAGGTCCTCTATGAGGTAGACATCAAGCCAGCAATAAAAAGCAAGATATTTATTGGAGAAAACACTCTGAAGGTTAAGAGAGAGAGCAGGAATAAGGCAAGGAGAACCTTCATTCAGACTACAAAGTGATTTTGGTATCTATAAAAGTAGAAAGGGAAGAAGGGATTAGATAGGAAGAAGCTTAGACTACAGGGAAGTTAGGAGATTGTCTCAGCTAGGCCAGTGGGAGGAATCCCTCATCTGGCTGGAATGACTGGGTTTGAGTATACCCACTGTGCTTAGTCATTGGCTGGAGGAGCCCAGTGAAAACCTGGCCTGGTGTGAAAGACATAGTGGGTCCCTAGGTGTGGCAGCTAAAAGCTGTCAATCAGCTGTGCTCCCTACAGCAGGTTCTCTGAAAGGGAGATCTGAATGGGACACTTCCACCACTGCTGTATAATGGGACTATCAGTCATACAACCCAATTGACAAAGAGAGGGAACTATCCAAACAAGGCCAATCAAAGCATTTCTCTAGAGTTGATATGCAGACAGTAGCAGGAAATTAGCTCCTTTTTCCACTGGAGAATCTGAAGGAGGTGAATCTAGGGCTGCCAACTTTCCTTAGGACATGCGGAATCCAAACTGCATCAAGGAAAAAATATGATCAAACCCCAGAAGAAAGCAAAGTTCAAACTGGGGAGAAAAGGGAGCCCCGAAGTTAGAAGCCGCTAAATATCATTTTCCCCTTTATTCTAGTTTGAGTTGTATTTCTGCTGCAACTAAAAAGTACTCTCCCTAATACCTAATACTGCTTTCACTGTAATTATCACAGTATATTAGAGCTTGAAAGGCCTTTAGAGGTCATGTAGTTCTCTTACTGCACATTACAATAACCTGAGGAACTTAGTTTTGATACCAAATGCAGGACCTCATTCTAGTCTAATTAAATCAGAATCTCTGTAAGTGGAGCCCATGCACCAGTTTATTCTTTTAAATTATCTAAGTGGTTCTGATGTTTATTCAGGATTCAGACCAATGCTTTTGTCAGACATTCATTTTGCAGATATGAAAGTTGAGGTTTAAACATAGAAACTGATGGGTCCCAAATGCACACGAGACAGAGCCAGAAGTTAAACTCAAATCTTTTTACTTCTAAGCTGATGCCTTTTATTAAAATTATAATATGGCATCTTATTTGAGAAACAAACTTTTTTTCATCTCTGAGTAAAAATTCTTTATTCTTTTTTAATAAAATGTTTAATTCTTGTGAAAAACCCTCTGTTCTTTAAGAAGCCTAAGTTACTATCTCTCCTGATACTTAGAGTTATTTATATATTTATCAAAACAGGATGAAGTTACCACTCCCTGAAACAAGACCCAAATACAAAGTGGAGAGTGCATTCCCCCACCAGCACAAGTAAGTACTCCACCTTCCTGACTGATGGGAATCCATTCCGCCCCCTTAGAGCTGTAGGCTGCTTATCCCTGGAGAGCAAGTAGAGAGGGATTCTAAACTGAACCATGCCATCATGCTGAGCAGGAGCAATTAGGCAAAGAAGATTGCTGACTTTCACTGTAAGCTACTCTGACACACAAGAGCCATTGGGTTTCAATACCCTGATATGAATAACCATCTTCTTTGCTCTTGCAAAAAAATAATTCCTACAATTCAATTGCTTTTATCAAATTGGTCTGAAAAACCACCCTATTTTTGAGTCTTCTTTCTACAGGCATTTCATTGTCACTAAACACACCATCATTCAAAATATTATTAGAAAAAAGCAGAATGCAAAAGGATCAGTGTGGTATGATCATAACCAAGTAAAATAAATAGAAAAGCAAAAGTCTGGGGGGATACTCTCTAGGGCTTTTTGCAGCCTTGTAATTCAATGATTTCATCACTCCAAAATTCCTCTCATCTCTCAAGCTTTTCCAAGCAAGTGGTCCTCTACTTAATCTTTGTTTGAAGTTAGGCCTTTTGTAATCATATGGACAGTGAAAGTGACCTTCCAGATCCAGAAAAAATCCACCTATAGATTGATCACAGCACACATTACTTCTATGACATCCTGTCTACTGACTTCCATTAGTCGCCTGATGTTGATAGCTTTGAAATGCCCTTGTTTATTTAAAATTTTCTGCTTTTTTCATTGTTGTTAGTGGAAATCTACTTTTCCCTAACACCTCAACTTCACAAAACAAACCACTGCCATGGCAGAAGGTACACTCAATAACAACGTATTGATTTTGTATTTCCAGGGGAATGCTTTTCCTCCCTTATCATTTTGTTCCTGGTAGAGCTTGGTTTTTACCTGAGAATATAGTGTTTGTACCAAAAGTACTCTTCCTTCATAGAAAAGTTACTTTTGAAATAGAACTGTGCACAGGAATAAAAAATAATTGTACTCTGTGATAGAGAAGTAATGCTTTTCTGCTTTTATGAAGAGCAAATTGGGCCAGATGTTCTTTCATTTCTGTATTTGGTTGGTTACTTATTAGTTCCCTAGGAGAGAAATGGAATTTCTAAAAGGTGAAGAGAATAAAAGAAATTTTTCCAATGTGTATTATCAAAAATGTGGTAACTCATGTTCAAGAGGCCATAAAACTCTCCTGTATTAGATAATGTGGTTGATGAAAATACCAAAGATGAAACCAGAGTCAGAAATAAAAATCTGGGGCCAGGTTTTCTCTTATTTACAGTTCAAGGCAAATAATGACTGAAGACATGCACTCTCTACTGAAGAATTTACAAAACATGCAACGTCAATTAATGAAAGATAAGTAGAGCAAGAGGTTTTTGTAGGAATTATGTAACGAGCATAAAATCCCTAGTACTCAGGAACTCAACAAATGTCAGCTTTATTTCACACATATGAAACCCCCTGCCAACGGATAGAGAAGTTGCAGATCAGCATAGGCTTGGAAAGGCAGGAAACAGAATACTAAAGGCTTGATGTGCTCTCAGAAAGGTGGGTAGGATTTCTAAAGTCCATTAACAGGGAACTTTGGCAATTGTCTCACTATGTCAACAGTAGAAAGTAATAATAATACCATGTAAGTCAAAAATAATGGTTTGAATCTCACATTTCCATTTTTTTTTAATTTTTTATTGCATTTTAGGTTTGGGGGTACATGTGCAGAACGTGCAAGACAGTTGCATAGGTACACACATGGCAGTGTGTTTTGCTTCCTTTCTCTTTTTCACCCACATTCCCTTCTTTTAAACTTTGATCACGACTAGCTCCATTTTGTAAAAATCTCAATCCCTTTATGCATTAAAAAAAGGTTAATATAACCTGCCCTACTTTTTTTTTTTTTTTTTTTTTTTTGAGACAATCTTGCTCTATCACCCAGGCCGGAGTGCAGTGGCATGATCTCAGCTCATTGCAATCTCTTCGCCTCCCAGGTTCAAGCAATTCTCCTGCCTCAGCCTCCCAAGTAGCTGGGATTATAAGCACCCACCGCCACGTCCAGCAAAGTTTTTTTTTTTTTTTGAGACAAAGTCTTGTTCTGTCAGGCAGGCTGGAGTGCAGTGGTGCGATCTCAGGTCACTGCAGCCTCTGCCTCCTGGTTCAAGCAAGTCTCCTGCCTCAGCCTCCCGAGTAGCTGGAATTATAGCACCTATCAGGATACCTGGTTAATTTTTGTATTTTTAGTAGAGATGCCATGTTGGCCAGGCTGGTCTCAAACTCCTGATATTTTGTATTTTTAATAAATATGGGTTTTTACCATGTTGGCCAGACTGGTCTCGAACTCCTGAACTCAGATGATCCACCCTCATTGGCCTTCCAAAATTCTGGGATTATAGGCGTGAGCCACCACTCCCAGCCTACCTGCCCTACTTTCAAATTATCTTGTTTTATGAAAAGGGATACTTGACATAAATAAATTTTATAAAACTTAGAGGGCCTTAGAAATAAAAGTTAATAACATTTATCACCCAAGCATACATTGAGAGCCTGGGCTTGGATCACAGGGCACAACTGTGAGTAGCCTGGCCATTTCCCTTCAACAGTTTGCAATGAAGTAAAGTGGGACGAGAGAGGTAAGTGAGGTTTCACAAAAGAGGTGTCGTATAAGCAGGTTATTGAAAGATAAAAAGTAGCTCACCAGTGACAGAATGCCACAGGGTTGGGAGAAGGAATGGCTGAAAGAGGGACTTGAGAGGATTCCAAAGGTAGAAATAACATGAACTAAAATAAGTTCAGTTCAATCAAATATATATGTCCAGAACTGAGTAATTAAGATGAATATGATATAGGTTCTGCTCCTATAGATAAACAAGGTCAATGCAATGTGGTATATCCCATGAGAGAAGTGTGACCATGAAGGGTGCTGCTGGTGAGTCAGTCAATTAGCAAAATGTTAGTTAGGTGACATGAAGATGTAGATTACATCTCAGACCAAAAAACC